TTTCGATTAGAAGATTATTCATTTGGCATAAGAATGTGCCCCCTAGAATTACACGATTACTCATGACGTGTTTTATCTATGCATATATAAGGGAAGTAATGGATTGTTGAATTTAAACTGGTATAATATGAGTTATAATTTCATATTGGACTTTAATTGTATATTGCATACCATTGAAAGGGCTGCTATAGCGTTTAAATAAGTTCATGCCTTTCTGTTGAAACTCCTAGGAGTGCAATGGAATACAGATATGCACATCGGATGAGTACGGCGTAAAATGGTGAGCCGCTGTGCTTATATGGCTTCTTTTATAATTACCTTATTTTTGTGAATGCGTCCTCATGGCTCATCCTTTCTGTCAGTGTGTTCTTCTATGTTTTGATATTTTCCCCAGTATCCAACCACATGCGGTATTGTGGCTGTGTATGTTTTTCCATGTTTTTGCATTTTTATAAGTCCGTTAATTCATATCCCAGCCTCCTTGCATATCAGTTCCCATGCCGCATAGTGGCTGTGGATGCGCCTTCGTGTTGTATCACCACCATCAGTGTGTTTTCTCCTGTTTCTGCATTTTTATGAGAGTATGCTCTCATGGTGCACCTTTCCGATATATGCGAGTTCATGTGGCGTAATTTCGCAAACGTCGTTTCACGTGACCTAATTTCGCGAATGTGGTTTCACGTGGGGTAACTTTGCCAACATAGTTTTAGGTGGCGTAATTCTGCCAACGTAGTTTTAGGTGGCATAATTTTGCCAACGTAGTTTTATGTGGTTTAATTCTTCGCGGACGTGCCTTCATGTGGCTTCCTTCCCAAAGTCTTTTCATCTGGATCAATTTTTTGCGGGGTTCCCTTCATGGGTTATACAGGTCGCACGCGCGCTGTGTTGGTTGGCTTTATTATATATATTTCTCTACTTAATCCTTTCATGAGGATACACTTCTTTGCGGCATTTCTTTGACGAAAATTCTTTGGAGGTTTTTCTTATGATGACATTTTTGGCAGCACCTCTATGAAGATACCACTTCCCCTGGCATTTCTATGAATATACCTTTCTCTGCTGTATTTTTATCACCATTCTTTCTGTGTAGTTTTTTCATCAGGTTGCATCTCTTCTCCTTCATTGTTATGGTGTTCTCCCTCCGGATCATTGTGTCCTTGTGGTGTTACGTCACTGTGATGTGTACTGTTTCGCCGCGGCATTCTGATACTTTTTTTGTTTGTTGCATTCCTCTAAGGATGCTTATATCTGACATGTCACTATAATAATGCTTCTTTGTTCTACATTTTTGCATAGCTACATCGTCCTTGTTGTGTCAATATGAAGATGTCTCTGTGTGTTGCATCTTCTTCAGGATGATATTTCGTGCTGCATTTTTAGGAAGTTTTCTTCTTTTATGCTGCGTTATTGTGAGGTATCTTCCCTGGGGGGCATTTTTTTCCTGGGGTCCATTTTAGGGCTTTGTAGTTTTAATATATTCTTTCGCCCGCCATTCTTATAGAGATGGTTTCTTTCTCCGTGTTACTATGAAGATTCTTCTCTGTATTGCATTTTTTTTCTGACAATAGTTTCTTCTTCGGGTGCCCTCAGGAGGTTCCTGGTGCCACGTTATTGTGAGAATTTTGGCTGCTGTTGCATTTCTTTTACGAAGACTCTTGTGACCGCGTTATATCGATGATATTTTTCTGTTTGGCTGTTTTATAAAGATGCATTTTTTATTTAGGATGTGGCCGCGAAGGGATTTTTTTGCGAGGCACTTGTCTTAGGAGGATACATGTTTTCCGCGACATTCGGATGATGCTTCTTTTCTGCGGTATTTTGAATATATTGTTTTGTGTCATCTGTTCTATATCGATGCTCCTTCCTGCCTGGACTTCGTGAAGATGTTTTCCTGTGTGTCATTTTTTTTATCATGATGTACCCTTTTTCGCGGCATTTTGAAGATATTCTTTTGGGTGTGATTTTCTCTATGAAGATGCCCCTTTTCCGCGACATGGTAAAGATGCCGTTTTGTTCTTTATTTTTCTTATGAAGATCCTTTCTTCCCCCGCTAGCTTCCCGACGTCTTTTCGCTTCGTCCTTTTGAAGATATTCTTTTGCCTCGATCATTGTGAAAATGTTCCTTGAGGTCACATCACTGTGAAGAGACCATTCTGGGTGCATCCTCGTTGATATGTTGTACTGTATTTCAGGCTTCTTTATTAGAATTTCTTCTACGGTAATATTCTGATGTACCTATTTCCTTTTCTTTCTATGTGGAGTCATTATAAAGATATTCTCCTTCTTCGGCTATTTATGAGGATGGCCACCTATGTGAAGTGTAAATATCATTACCATACGGATGGGGTAGCAATACCAGACAGGAATAATATACCGATGTTTGAAAGGGCACCTTTATCCCTGATGTATTTTTGCTTTAGAAGTGATGATGTTCATAAAGTACTATTAGGTGAATAGCAGTCTTACCTAGATAACCCTGTTAATTAAAGAGCAGAGTCGTGTTAACGGTAAGAAATTTCTTGGAGTGTTATTGCAGAGAGGCTGCTGATGTGTGTGTAGTACCCCTGTGTCCCAACTACTGACATGCTTATCGTTTCGTTACATCAAGAACAGAAGCCGGCCTGGGGTACTGTTCTTTGCAGAATAGTCATGTGCATTTCTAAGGGGGGAGCAGGGCCGGGATCTATGTGTTGTACTGTTATTTGAAGTGGATGGATATTCTAGAACTCTTCCTGAAACCGTACTGAATTATCTGGATTCTGAATGGTCTACAATCCGAACCTCCCCATCGTACTGTTATATGAATGTGATAGTAGCTCAAATATGTTCATGACCTTTACTGTTATCATACTGAGCAGCACCATTATGTGTTATCGGTTGTGCCATAATGAATATCTATATCTTCAAAATGGTATGTTATGGAAAAGTACGTGTGTACGAGCAGTACCGTTATGTTCAAAGGATTGTCGTGTGGATAATAGTTCTATTTAAATAGCGGAGTCTTTTAGTGAGTATTCATAATTTGCAATGCTAATATGAAGAAGGTACAGACGTATTTATCGTACTCATATTTGGAGATAGCTGACGTGCTTGGTACACCGCTATTTGGATCATGGCGAGGTCAAAACAGTCGTATTAAGTGATGTATTCGGGTAATAGGATATATGGGGCGTAAACTTCTACCATTTGCGGAGACCTATTGTATGA